GGAGTAAGGGAGGGTCGCTCTCATGAGCGCAGGGTCTGCCAGAGAGTCTGAAAAGTAGTCACCAGAGGCCAAGGGCTGAGAGAGCCAGGAGCTGGCCCTAGGCTTCCTGGAGAGGCTTCACAAGAAAGAGGAGCAGGCAGAAAATAGGAAGTGCGGAGACGTTAGAGGGCACGGGGTTTTCAAGAACCCCAAGAAGTCTGAGCCAGAAGTGAAGCCCCAACAGGATAAGAATGACGTGGGGCAGCAGGAGTCACTCGAGGCCACCCTCCGGGGAGGAGTGGGGCACCTAGTGGGAGCTGGTACATCACAGCCGCAGTCCCTCTGTGTGTGGAGTTCTCAGGGTGGTCCCAGTTGACACTGGAGTCTCTGGGATCACTGCTGGCTGTGCGTGTAATCACTCCCGTGGTGGAAGCAGAGAAGGAAAGTGACCTCCAGGGTACACACCCATCAGTAGCAGGCAGGAATGGGGCCCCATGATCAGCTCTATGGAAAGGGTGTTCAAATTCTGTTCTGTGGTGAGGGATGGCAGGAGTATCATGCTCTCCGTAGATGATTTCCCTTCAAGCTAGTGAAACAAGAGCTTTCGTGTAAAAACCTTGCTCACCTTTCCCTTGGCCGGATCAGATTTGGGCTTTCAGTCAGGTGGGTCAGAAGAGTGTCAGCTGTCTGGACAGTCTGGGTTCAGCCCTTCAGGAGATGCTGCTCCAGACCTCAGTTTCCTCAGGCTGCTACAAAGCTTACAGGTGTTTCTATGGACAAAGCTCTTGGAACAGTGTGGCCTGCCTGATGCTGACAGCTTTTATGCTGGAGGCTGGGAGGTTGCTTTCTATATTGAGTCAATTTTTATTTAAGGGTCATAAGTTCTGTGGTGCTTTTACCACCAGATGTTCTAGCCTTCAGCATTCAACATTGGATCTTTAAAAGATAAGAAATTTTTTAAAAATTGGATCTTAAACTAGTTAGTTATAAAGAAGGATTTTCATCAGATTCTCAAAGTTCTATGCTCCAATAATCACTCTTTTATTATAAAGAGGATTAAGAAGTTGCTTTTGTTTTTTAATTTTTTTATTAAATTTTATTTTATCCCATTCCCCCGTCAAGCTCCCTCCCCTGTCTGTGTACAAAAGCTTTGTTTCCATAAATGGCGCAGGCTGGGCTCCAATTTGCAATCCTCCTGCCTTAGCCTCCTACAGTGCTGAAATTACAGGGGCACCACCACCTTACCTTAGCAGGCACTTTCTGAAACGGCTTGACCCTGTAGTGTGCCTCGTGGACCTCTGAATGGAGATTCTGGCTACAGAATCCCTTCCAGGGTCACATTTAGTGGGTGGCTTATTGCAGGTAATTGCTGCCAGCAATAAGAGGATCCACATTTTGGAAATACTGACACTGATTGAAGCACAGTCCATGCATTTCAGCTGTGACGCGTGGGCACTGTGTGTTTTCTGGCATGTTCAGTCTGCAGCCTTGGCTTGGGGGGTCTCCAGAGATGTTCACCATTTGTTTGCCTTTGAACTCTTCAGTCTGGGAGCTGCACCTTAGGTCCACACAGTGGGTGGGTTTGAGGTCAGCATGTGCTGCAGATCCCTGGGGAAGGGCCACATGAAGGCCAGCAGGATGTGGGCAGCAGGGGCTGGAGGTGATATCTTGTGGCTATCCAGAGCCATAATTTATTTTTTAATTGTTACCCACAGACATGAAAATCCCTTTTGGTAGTGGTCTGCACACACTGAGAAATCCACACAGAAACTTTTTTAAGACAGGTTCTCACTGCGTAGTTGAGACTGCCCTGGAACTCACTGTGTAGCCCAGGCTTATCCTCCTGCCTCAGCCTCCTGAGTGCTGGGACTACAGGCGTGCGCTCCCACACCCAGAAACTTCTTGGGGAGTGAATTTATCCTCCATCCCCTGTCACTCCGCAAGGTGTACCTTCCAAGCAGGGCAGGGTGGTGACTGAGGCAGCCCCAGCTGAGGGATTCCTGGAAACGGTGCTTCAAGTTCAAGGCCAGTGGCTGCTGTTTGTCTTTCTTGGGGTTAAGCCTTGTGGAGCAGGTTTCAGCAGTGATGAAGAAAGCCTCTGTAGACATCCCTGCAGCTAGGACTCATTTGTGAGAACCCTGAGCTGTCCTGCAGTATGATGGCCCATTCTGCCTCCCCCTGGGATGAGGAGGTGACCATGGCGTCCGGCCTCCCAGACATAGCATGCCAGAGCTCTGGGTTCTGGCCACGGTGGGCGTGGTGGGTATGCCAGAGGAGTGTGGAGTGTCTTCTGTGTGTTCAGCATCTGTCCCTGGTGAGAGGTCTCTTCCGTCCTCGGCTCAGTATTTAATCGTGTGTCTTCTTACTGCTGAATTCTAAGACTCCTTTGTATATTTTGGGTTTGGTCCTTTATCGGATATGTCTTCCGCAACTGTTTCCTCCCAGGCTGCACATTTTCTTTTCATTGTCTTCACCATGTCTTTCCCAGAGCAGGAGTTTTTAATTTTAATGAAGTCCAGCTGATCGGTCATTTCTGTCATGGATCATGCCTTTGGTGTTGGGCTTTAAAAATTAGGACCAAGGCAGGTGTGGTGGCGCACATCTGTAATCCCAACACTTAGGAGGCTGAGGCAAGAGGATTGCTGTGAATTCAAGGCTAGCCTGGGCTGCATAGCCAGACCCCATCTGAAAAAAAAAGCAAGGGGAAATAGTTTGAGGAGATCAATGACAATGTGTCTTATTATAATATGTTTTTTTAAATTTAAACATTCATCATGTCTTTTGATCATACTCCATATGTTGATATTCTCAATATTTAGTGATAAGGTTGATTCAACAGTTGAGAAAGATTTGGATGTAGAAATTATTTTTTCATCATGTACTCTAGTAAATTATGAGCATAAAGGTAGGTAAGCGTCTTTTTATTTCTTTTGTACTGGGGCTTGAATTTAGGACCTTGTGCTTGCAAAGCAGGCACAGTGCTGCTGAGCTAAATCTCCAGCCCATAAGTAAGCCATTTTTAAAAGATTAGCATAAAACTTTGAAGTCACATTTTTAACAGACCTGCCATAATTTCCCAAGTAAGTGTTAGCTCTTTCACTGCAGTTGCCTTGGAAGGTACATGGAGTATTTCCATTCCACAAAATGATTTCAGAACTTCTTTTGGAATTAAAGTCCAAGCCATCATACATGCTTTTTATTGTCATCAGTGTTTGTTTTTGAAGTGTAGTTATTTTATGGAAACATTCAGAACTGAGGCAGAAACCTTGACCTGGTAGCACACACTCCTATAACCTCAGCACTCAGGAGGCTGAGGCACGAGGATGTAAAGTTTAAGGACAGCCTGGGCTATGTAACAAGGCTCTGTTTTTTAAAAAAAGAACATTAGGGAAGTTAAGTATTGGATCAAGCTTTATTCAAAGCATGATGCAACTCAAGTTATGAATCAGCGCAGTGTTCTCTGTTGGGTTTTGGTCACAAAATCTGACTTTTAAGGCAAATAAAAATGGCCAGTTGGTTTCAAAGTGTGAAGCGTTTTGTCATTGTAGTAACCACAGGACCAAAAGGAACTATCTTAGGAGATGGAAGACAGATCATCATCTTCTGATGCTTACAGATAAGGAAATGGGAGGGGTGGTTTTGCAAAAACCCACACAGCAAACATCTCAGTTTATTAGAGTAGGATTATAAACCAGGTGTGGTGGGTACACCTGTCGTCCTAACACTGTGGGATACTGAGAAAAGAGCCTGGGCAACTTAGAGACTTAGTTGAGACCCTTTCTCAAACATTGAAACATAAAAGGGCTGGGAGTGTGGTGCAGTGTGAAGTCCCTGGGTTCCACCCCCAGTATCACCGAATAATAATAATAATGTGCAATCATTTCTGAAGCAGTAACTCTTTCTGGAGGAAGCAACATGTTTTCTTTCTGGTCCACAGTGTATAACCCTGGAAGTTGGGGTAACTGGGCTGTGGATGTCCTGGTGTGAAGACTGTTAGCTTTGCTGTGGGACCTTCAGCAAGTCAAAATAGAAATATCTTAGATTTTACTTTTTCTCAGCCTCAAAACCAAAGATTTGGCCAGATAAGTAACTCTCCTTCCCGGTAGGAACCCTTACGTTCTCTTCCTCTGGCCCTGCAGAGCTGTGAAGTAGAATACATAGTGATGTCATCTGTTTTATATAATCTTTGTTGAAATGTCTTCAAAGGTGAGAATTTTGTTTCTTAAAACCCACCCGCCTCTTTTGCCACTGCTGTGATACAGCGAAGAACAGAGGTGCTTCTGGCAAGACAGAGCAGCAGGTCAGAGTGGCCTTTACTTAGCTCTCCTCACCTTGAGCCATGACAGTGAGATAATAAAATAATGATAAACTGCAAATATAATAAAAGTAGGGTCAGGAAATTTTTAATTAAGATTAGAAATAGTTGAGTTCGATCCCTGGTACAAAAAAAAAAAAGATTAGAAATGAATACCAGAAAAGCAAAAAAGGATGTAAACCTTGCTCTTGGATTTCTGGCCCCAAACTTTATAAGGAAATGGCATGGTTCTGATTTTCAAAGATGCGCTTACTTCTAAAAGAACCCTTAGCCGGGCGTGGTGGCACATGCCTGTAGTCCCAGCGCTCGGGAGGCTGAGGCAGGCGGATTGCTGTGAGTTCAAGACCAGCCTGGGCTACACAGTGAATTTCAGGTCAGTCTCAGCTACATAGTGAGACCCTGTCTCAAAAAACAAACAAACAAAATAAATAAATAAATGAAAGAACCCTTAGCACTGGGGAGTCTGGAGGCAGAATGAAGGCTTTACAGGTAACAAGCGTGTAGCCGCAGCAACCTGGGAGACCCAAGAATAACCTGCTGAGCAAAAACTGTCATGGGTTAAAAATTATCTTGTCTCAGTAATGTGATATCTTTTTGTGAATGAAAAAGTGTAAGTTTACTTTCTATTTTGTCTGCATAAGCTCAGCACCACTAAACTTGGGTTCTGATCAAGTCTTGCCTTGTTCTGTGTTCTCTCTGGCACTAGCCGAAAAAGAAGAACATGTCAGCCTACCAGGTGTTCTGTAAAGAGTACCGCGTGACCATCGTGGCTGACCACCCAGGGATTGGTAAGAGCACGGCTGACCTTCCCTTGTTTTCCTCCCCATTTGTGTCTCTCAAACAGTGCACTGAGCTGATTCATTAAGCACAGCATCTTCCTGTGTTAGAACACAGATCTCATCTCTCTCCTCTGACATGCAAATCACTTTAGATTAGCCTTCATTCACCTTGCTGATACAAGGGGTGAGCTTCCTGCACGTCTCTTAACACTTTCCTGGCGCCTTAAGCTGTGTGGCTGTCTTACAGAGCGGCACAGGACAGTCCCTTCAGTGGTACAGGCCGCTCTGTGTGACAGTCTTGCATGTACTGCTAGTGGTACTAGTCCCATTGTGAACAAGTTAAACTGAAAAAACAGAAAGCTGTGAAAAATTAAATATTATAAAGTGTACATATGTAAAGTGCATATATGTGTGTGTGTGTGTGTGTGTGTGTGTGTGTGTGTGTGTGTGTGTGTTTCCAAGATTCTGCCATTGGCTTTCTCATAGACTCCCTTAGGTGTAGAGAAGCACCTGCGCAGCACTGTTCCTGTTTGTCTGTTACCTGGTGAGGCGAGGAAACACTACCCTAGACCTCACACAGTCCCTTACCCTGTATGTGTCTTACTTGCCTGCTACATACATACTTGCTCTGCCCCCTCCACGGGCTGCTATGATGTGCACCTGTGAACACTATAGCACAAGACTGCAGGTGTGGTGTCACATGCCTGCAGTCCTAGCCCTCGGGAGGCAGAGGCAAGAGGATCACGGTGAGTTTGGAGCCAGCCTAGGCTATGTGTTGAGTTCAAGGCCAACCTGAAATACTTGGCGATTGCTGTACAGTTGGAAGGGTGACATGACACATCTGAGTGCTCCTTGTTGGCTACAATGGGAAAGTTCTTTTCTCTGATTCTTCAGATATCTAGTAAAAACCTAATATCATTTATCAAATTCTATGTAGCATATTGTCCTTAACAGTGTAGGAGGCCTTGTATTACAAGGTCAGATTAAGACACCAGAAAGATGCCTCAGCAGTGAGTCCCCAGAGTAGAACGTGTGAGCATTTGAGCCTGTCTTATGACCACCAAAACATCTTTTCCCTATAGAAAAAATCAGAATAAAAGTGATAGGAATCTGCTTCAGTTTTCTGAGAGAATCTCGCAACCTTTAAACCTGATCTTCAAAAGCCTTTTTCTGGACCAAGGATTTAGCTTAGTGGTTCTGCCATCTGCCTTGCAAACGCAAGAACCCGAGTTTGATCCCTAGTACCAAAAAAAAAAAAAAAAGCCTTTTTCTACCGGGCATGGTGGCGCATGCCTGTAATCCTAGCACTTGGGTTGCTGAGGCAGTTGGATCACCACAAGTTCAAGGCCAGCCTGGACTACATAGCAAGATTCTGTTAAAAAAAAAAAAAAAAAAAAAGGCCTTTTTCCAAATTCTACCCCCACCCATCTTCTGTTTTGTTAAAGTAAGCTTGTTCTGCATTGTTTTTATTTTTATTTTTTATGCTAGATTTTGGGGAACTCAGTAAAAAACTGGCTGAGGTGTGGAAGCAATTGCCAGAAAAGGACAAGCTGGTAAGTGCACTTTCCTACAACCATAGTTTTCATAGCGTTTTGCCTTTTGAGTGTGTGATTCTCCTATAGACCATCCAGCAATGCAGCAATGAAAACAGTGAAGAAAATGATCAAGCAATGGACCATGGTGCAACAGTGGTGTTAACAGTGCTGGTATTGAGTTACCTCGCCGAGGGTTTAGCTAGAGGGAGGCTGTCTTCTGTAAGTTTGGCTCATTTTTCCAAACACTTTACATCGAGCCGAAAGGAAACCTAACTTGGGCAGTGAGTGGGGTGTCAGAGGACACAGTGTCACGGCCCCCACCGCAGACCCCTGAGGGTTGATGCATCTAAAGATCAGGGAAGACGCCCTGCACAGTCAGCCACAGGATTTGCTCAGCAGGCTCCAGGTCACCGTGCTCCTCTGCCATGGCGACATAGTGGCCACTACAACCAGGAAGTCAGTAACCTGGATAGTAGCTAGGCATTTACTGTGGCTTACATCTCACCCACAGCATGATCTGTTAGGCTGAGGTCAACCATTGGCACTGAGGCGTGTTCATTTTCCAGGCTTAAATATCAGTGCAACAACAGGCTGAAGCCAACTGAAGGACCTCAGCCTAAAAGTCAGCGTCAGCCTCTGCCTGCCCGCTCTATCCCTTCACCCTGTTCTGCTGTGACTTACCTTCCATTTTATGTTTTGTCCCTTTTAAATTGCACGCTGATCTGATTGCAGATTTGGAAGCAGAAAGCTCAGTATCTGCAGCACAAACAGAACAAAGCAGAAGCTACAACTGTGAAGAGAAAGGCGTCCAGCTCAGAAGGCTCCGCGAAAGTCACAGGTAGCGGCCACCTCCTCATTGTGCACATGCTGCCTTCCTCTGAAGCTCTGTGAAGCTGGCTGCCTCGCTAAGAAATTGGGAAAACAGCTGGTACTAGAAGGAGACCTCAGTACCCACATATTACCGAATATTATAGGCAGCACAAAATGATGCTCAGAATTAGAATATGTAAACAAATCAGAGGTCAGCAAACTTTCTCTCTAAAGACCAAGAATGTAATGTTACAGGCCTGTGTGCCATGTGCATTCTGTCACACATTCATCTGTCTTTTCCTATAACTTTAAAAATGTGAAACTATTTCTAGCTCACAGGTCATGCAGAAAGAGCCCATGGTTTTGCAAGTGCCTGGTATACTTCATAGGAAGGGAAAGTCAGGAGCAGGGTTCTGTGGTACTGAAGGCTGCAGGTGAATTTCACTTCTCCTCCACCCCTCTGTCCTCAGCTCCTTCTGCAGGAGTCCTGTCACCCCAAAAGAAGTCCCCACCCACCACCATGCTGTTCCCCGCATCTCCAGCCAGAGCTCCCGAGACAGAGCCCATCGATGTGGCTGCACACCTCCAGCTGCTAGGGGAGTCCCTCAGCCTCATCGGACACCGCCTGCAGGAGACTGAGGTGAGCACGCTCTGGGCACCGTGGCTCCGGGGTCCACCCACTCCTTGCACCTACATTCACCGAGCAGTTGCTTGGTGCTGGGCCAGGGGGACACTGAAGACATCATGGCAATACATCTAGAAGCACGAATCTACCTGTTGATTCTTAAAATTTATACTAATACCATTTTATTCCAACAGCAGCACAAAGAACAGTTAGAATTCCTGTAACTGATTTTTATTCTTTAAAAATGCAGTGGATATGGCGTACACCTATAATCCCAGCACTCAAGAGGCTGAGGCAGGAGGATCGTCAAGAGTTCAAGGCCTGCCTGGGCTACATAGTTCAGGGTCAGCCCAAGCTACAGAAGGGAAACCCTGTCTCTAAAACAAACAAAAAAGTAATGGAGAGCCAGGTGTGGTGGCACATGCCTGTAACCTCAGTACTCAGGAGGCTAAGGCAGGAGGATTGCCACAAGTTCAAGGCCAATTTTAACTACATATTAAGACCCTGTCTCCAAAAAAAAAAAAAAGTAAAAGCCAAAATGAGGAAAGAAACAAAGGTAGAGGAGGACTCTGCAGTATGTGTTCCTATTTCTAGAAGGTTCTGTTCTGGCTGACTGAGAATCGGGAAACCACATCACAGGCCTCACTCAGATCTGGAAGAATCGAAGCTATCGCAGACAGACACAATTCAGTTTTAAAGCCTCTCACAGCATCTCCAGCCCCGTGGGTCTCCAGCATTTGTGCAGTAACATCTCTGCAGTTTAACTTTCTCAACAGCCTAGTTTTCATGTCAAGAAACTAGAAATTAAAATTTTCAGACTTTTAGATACATGTAAAAAAAAAAACACACAACCAAAAATTGCAGTGCATCCGGTAAGTTGAAATCCCATAGCAGTTTTGGTTACTTGTACTTCTAAGATGATTTGGATTTTTTAGCACATTTCCAGCAAAGCTTTAAATATTGAGATTAGATTGGACAGGGGATTGAGAGTTGCTGTGTTTCTCTGAAAATAAGTAGTAACTGTGGATGTTGAGGTTCTAAACGCTTCATTGCTGTGCACTTCAGTATCCAGTGCTCTGTGCCTGAGGGAGCTCTTTGTCGCATTAAGCTCTACTTTCAGGGTCACTTACTCTGAAAGCTGCCATGCTCCACTTTATTCCTACACTCAGTTTTGAACCACATTGCCCTTCACAAACGCAGCAGCACAGGAGGTCAGCTCTTAGTTCTGATAAGACACGTGAGCTAAGAAGTCATCTCAAGATGGAACTAATCCTATGCTTTGTGTGCAAGTTAAATCACTATTTGGCAAATAAAATGCCAGAGGCCACAAGAGGTGAAGCTGTGTCTCGGTTATTGGTTAATTTCTAAAACTTCAGCTGGCGTCAAAGAATGGAACACTGTAGACTCATATCTGAAAGAGCAAAAGTATTCCAGAATAAAAGAGCTTGTGATCCTTCTCTGTCTTTTCTTATTTTATCATTCTTATGTTTGCTATTTTGTTGTAAGGACTCTCTATATTCCAGGTATTTCCATTTAGTTTAGCGAGTGTTTGTTGAATTTTGAGGCATTATTCTAAGAACTTGGGGAGCCAATATCCGAATATCCAGTATGCCTATCAGGAGGAACTTACAGCCTAACTGGAAATACAGAAAGTTTATATAGTTATCAAAACAAGCCAGGGCCTGGAATTTAGCTCAGTGGTACCACCACCTGCCTTGCAAGTGCAAGGTCCCAAGTTTGATCCGTGGTACCAAAAACAAAAAACAAAACCAAACAAAAAAAGCCAGTCCTGAAGCTGGGAATGTAGCTCAGTGGCAACAAGCCGGTTCCAGTGAGGAGTCGCTATGAGAGAGTTACTGTACACGGCACAGCAGCCCCCTTCAGAGGGGAACTTGGTCAGATCCCCAGATATCTGCAGCCACAGATAGTACCAGACCTTGTGTACAAGCACAGCAGGCTGGGGGACTCAACCCACAGCTGCGCTGAACAAGGAGGGACCAGGTCCCTGCTGGACAGGGTTGGACAGAGTGATCTCACCATACTGTTCAGAAAAGCATGCAGTTTAAAACTTAGGGTTATTTCTGAAATTTTCCATTTAATATTTTTTGACCAAAATGGACGATGGGTAACTGAAACAGAAAAGGAAACCACAGATAAGGGATGACCCCTATGATCACAGAAGGAAAAGAACGTACAGACTCTAGTCCACTTAATTTTTTAAGTCTTGCTGATTTTTTTTTTTTTTTTTTTGAGACAGGGTCTCACGATGTAGTTGAGACTGACCTGGAACTCACTGTGTAGCCCAGGCTGGTCTGGAACTCAAAGCGATCCTCCTGCCTCAGCCTCCCCAGCGCTGGGATTACAGGCATGTGCCACTACGCCTGCCTTAAGTCTTGCTGATTATGACTCACATACCATAGAGCTCATCCTTTTAAAATGCAGAGCCTAGTGGGTTTCCGTTATTTTTAGAAGAGTGGGCCCATCACTACCTAACTCCAAAACTTTCCTTACCCCAAGCGAAACCCCAGCTCATTAGCGGTCATTCCCCATACACACTGGAGTCCACTTTTGCCCTGAGTTTAATTACTGGACTATATCCTCTTCACACACTGCACTTTGCATGTACCACTTGGACTGTTATTTATGTTACAATTTTATTTCAGTAAATCTGTCTAGCCAGGTGTTGTGGCAAATACCACTCTAATCCTAGCCTGAGACAGGATTGGAAATTCAAGCTCAGCCTGGGCAACTTAGCAGCTTAGCAAAACCCTGCCTCAAAAGGAATTTTTGGGGGGCCGTGGATTTAGCTCAGTGGTTCTGCCACCTTCCTCACAAGCACAAGGACCCAAGTTCGATTCCCAATACCAAAAAAAATAATTTTTTCTTAGCCAGGCGTGGTGGTGCACGCCTATAATCCCAGCACTGTGGAGGCTGAGGGAGGAGGATCATGAGTTTGAGGCCAGCCTGGAATACTTACTAAGTTCAAGTCCAGCCTGAGCTACACAGTGAGTGAGACCTTGTCTCAAAAAACTCCCCCCAAAAAATGTTTTGTTTTGTTTTTTTTTAAAGATCAGAATGTAGCTCAGTACAAAGGCCCTGGGTTCAATTCCCAGAACTACTAAATAAATAAATGCTTTTGCAGTCATCCTTGACATCGCAAGAGTGATGTTCTAATTTTTGTCTAATGTACATCATAATGGGATATGTAACTATCAAAATTACATTAATCTGTTTGCCAGGTGAAATTGCATGCCACACTTTAAGGAATTGTACCATTTGCTAAATTGGATAACTGAAGCCTTGGGAGGTTTAGTGAAGATTACAAGTAGATACAATTCTAGATACTGCACCCGAGCCTGTGTCCGGCCAGCCCCCTTCCTGCCCTGTCCCCCAGCCATCCTGTGCTACTTAAGTAGGTAGGAGACTGGGAGAACAGAGGGAAGTCGGGAGAGGCACTGTGAGGAGGCGGCGGTGTTCAAGCCGGATATTAATGGGAGCAGGGAGCTATCCCTTGGGGTGTCAGAGACCCCGGGTTTTCTGCAGGAAAGTATGAAGGAGGCCCATTGAGGCTGTAGACATTTTAGCTGTCTTATGTGCTGGGCTTCCACAGGTTTTATTTGAAAATTTTTACTAAAATCTTGAAATAGGTTTCATTTTAGCAATAAACACAAGGTGAAAAATAAAGGCTAGAAACCAAATTACAGGAGTTCTTCGTGGATACTTCAGTGTTTCTACTCTGCTGTTGGGGAACTGTGGGGCTCTTTCTGGGGGAAGAGGTGTGATCAGAGCACCTATTCTGGCTTTCTGTGAGATCTTCGATTTTAGATTGTGAGTAAAAAGAGACCAGAGTTGGGAGGAGTTAGAGCCATAGTCTAGATGCAACAAACATGCGAATTTACTTTGGCAGTTGTACATGCATGAACTTGAGTTGCTGTGGGACCGCCCTTCCCGGGGCCTGTCTTGACCCCACAGCTCTCTTGATCTGTGTTATAGGACACTTGCCATTAGTGGTAGGACATAAGAGATGAGGCATAGTTCCTGCCCTTGAGGGACACAGGATCCATGGGGAGATTCAGGGTAAAGTATTAGGTGTAATTAATGTAGGGCAAAGGTGATGAATGATATTGCTAACTGCTAACAAACATTTTGCTGAATGCTCAGTCAGCCAGCTTTGGTTCAGAATGCTTTATGTAGTTTAATTCATTTAATTCACACTGCAGCTTTAGGATGGGCAGCATTTTGTTTCCCACTTTACAAAAGGAAAAGTAGGGCCGGGGATTTAGCTCAGTGGTTCCGCCACCTGCCTTGCAAGCACAAGGACCCAAGTTTGATCCCCGGTACCAAAACAAAAGGAAAACTAGACTTGGGGGCATCGCTTGCTCAGGAGCCAGCCCCTGGTGCTGACAGGAGTTGCATTTGCAGTGCAGCCTCGGGGTGCAAGCTCTAACCCTCTTGGTGAACCACCAGACCCCAAAGATGGAGGGGGACGTCTGAGAGTGAGGGAAGAGTTGGTGATGGCAGAGGCCTTGGGCCTCCGTCAGAATGGCAGCGACTGTGGTAGACAGATGGATGCGCGAGGAGATCCAGAAGAGAAGGTCGTTCCTCTTTAAGGCATGATGAGACAGAAAGCCACGAAGACACCCAGCAGGCAGCTAGACAAGCAGAGACGTAGTTTGTAGGTGAAGGTGTTGATGATAGTAGGGATCTTTCCATGTACCACACACTGTTCCAGTGCTTTATCCTCGTGATTTCAGGCCCAGGACAGTAGGCAACCTGGCCAGGCGCAGAAGCCATGGGTGCTGGGTCAGGATCTGGACCCAAGCTGAATCCAGTCCAGGTCCTCACGGTGCTTCTGGTGAAAGCAAATTGTGCAGGAGCTGAGCAGTGGGTTCTCACATCTTTGCAGCACAGATATAGATGATAAGAAATGTGTGAGGTGTTAGAATTTACTTCTGATTGTGAACACTTCAGTCTCGAATAGTGATCTGAGAAAAGTATGTGTGTGTTTAAGTGTGAGTGTGGCATGTAGAGTAGTTAGGGTGTAGTCAGCGCACTTGAGCTTGTCCTTGGAGTTCATGACAGATGTACTCTTGCATATATGAGCTCACAGATCTTCCCAGCAGCTCTCCAGAGCAGGTATAACTCTGTTCACTCTTCTGGTGAAGTGATTTCCTTGGAAACAGAAAATACAATGGATTACGAATACAGAGAGGAGACCTGTAAATGTACTGTAAAAGTTTAAGCATTTTCAGAGTAGTGAAAGTAGATCCCTCCACATCTGTGTAAGTTTCGTTCCACAGACTGAAGGGCCCAGGATTTCTGAAAGTCGGCGAGGAAAGGGAGAACACCTGGGGCGCACGGTGTGAGTGACAGCCTCCTTTCCTTTCAGGGCATGGTGGCCGTGTCTGGCAGTTTGTCTGTGCTTCTGGATTCTATCATCTGTGCTCTTGGCCCCCTGGCATGTCTGACCACACAGCTACCTGAGCTGAACGGCTGTCCCAGGCAGGTCTTGGTGAGTCCTGTTTCACTTGGGAGTGGGGGAGGCACCCTGTCCTGTGGAGTGTGATGCTGTGCCTTCATGAGACCAGAAAGTGTGTCACTTCCCAGAATAGCACTTTGGGGACGAGGGACCTAGCCCTTGAGATACAGTGCTTCCCATGTTTCCTGTGTGCTCTTCTATGCACAAAGACAGTATGGGGTTTTCTGCCTCATTTTTACTGGGATTAATAGAAGACATCAGCAGAATGCATCCTAGCGTAACAGGCCATCAGATGCTCTCTGCGCGCTCACCCCATCCCTCCACCCTCTGTCTGCTTTCATTCCACTTGTCCCTCCTCATCTGCCCCCTAAACGGAGAAACATGTCCCGGAACCATTGGAAAACACCCCTCAATTGACCTCTTTTTGTTTTGCAGTCAAACACTCTAGACAACATTGCTTACGTCATGCCTGGACTGTGACAACCGAGAGCCCTGGGACAGAGACCTGCCCGGCCTCTCTGCTGGGTGTGTGTGTGTTACTGTTGCAGACTCCTCACTGGCCTTGGGGTGTGGGTTTTAAATCTTTGTATCTCTGTGTTATACATATGTATATATATATATATATATATATATATACACACACATATATATAATGTACAGTTATATACGTAGGACCGTAAGTACTTTGCTTTGGTAATTTGAAATGGCAAAGGTGTAGCCAAAGGAAACTGGCAGGCATAGGGGCTTGGGATTCTGCATCCTCTTGTGGTGGATAAATCTGCCTTAAAAATCAGCGTCACTTGGGACTGGGGGCTTGTTCCGGGTGCGGAGCAGCACCTCCTTATGGACAGCTAAATTGTGATTTTTTTCCCAAATCAGTTGTACCTCCAGACCCATCACTGACCATTTGCCTTACTTGTCGTATAGTCAGAAATGTAATAAAGATGATGGGAGATGCCAGCTGACCAGAAGTGACCTCGGTGGCGAGTGTCACACCAGCGGAGCTACTGAGATGGCTTAGATGGACTGCGTAGGGGTCATTCCACTCCCTACTACACAGGTGTCCACATCTCAGAACTTACTGCAATCACTGATACCACTGGCAGCCTCGGGAGAGGCTGAGCAGTTAGTGATTCCCGGCAGGAGAGATCCCTGAGGGTGACGCTGTCTGCCCCAGCCAGAGCTGCTGGTGTTCCAAGCTGACCCACGCTATTGGTCTGCAAACCCGCGAGCTGGCATCTCTGGCAGTGCTAGATTGGCCACCAAGTCCCGCAGATTCTGCTGCTTAGTTTCCTGGTGGCTGTGAAAGATAAACGTTGCCCCGTGTGGTTCTGGAGTTCATCTTACTGGTTCCTCTGTGGGCAGATAAAGCACTCTGCATTCCACATGTGAGTGAACTGCAAAAAAGACTCGATCCTCATGTAGGTTTATTTATATGTGTGTGAATGTGTATTTTAATTATGTGTATTTAACTCTAAATTCCTTAGATTGTTAATTTATGCTGTAAATTTCTGTATATATAATTTAATAACAAAAGCGTCCACCAGCAGCAGCGTGTGGAAGATACAGATTGGCCACTTCTCCCTTCTTCCTTCCTTCCTCTGGTGTGTTCTGAAGATTCCAAATCATATATACTTTAAGGTTTTATATCTCAAAAAAGAATCATGGTACTGGGGTTCTAATTCTTTATAAAGAACTTCAAAGCCTTCAATAATGTCAAAAGAGTGAAATTTTTAAAAATCTTAGCATTCCCCGCTGCCCTTATTTCAAAGAGCCAGACCTGTGTCTTGGGTGGAAAGACGACAGTAGGTGGTTTTAAATGTGACTCCCTGCCGAGCCACCAGGAGGCTCTGGGGACAGTGCAGCCAGCAGCATGCTGCACAGCTCCTCCCTTCCCCAGCCAGTGTCGTCACAGGGGTGTATTCCTCAGAGGCCACTGAACCCCAGCTCAGAGCAGTTCTGCAGTTTAATCAAGGAAATGGGAACATTAGGAATTGAAATCAAGAAGCAGAAATGTTAGCTTGCACGTGTCAGAACCTCATCGGTACCCAGGGAAGGTTCCTGTGTGACAGATGACAGGGCGCAGGGGTGAGGCATAGAAATCAGGCCTACAGCTTCATTTTATTCGGTAATGCGTTCCCGGGTGGTGGTTCTGAACCACAGTGGCACACGTGTGACTCCCGTTGGGCGGCAAAGGGACAGTCATGCATGTGCCCCAGTGGGTCAAGCTGGCAGGAACGTGTTATGAAACCCTAAGGAGAGCCTGCTGTTTTTGTTTCGTTTTTGTTTTTCCTTTGAAACCTAGCCCTACTGTATTTGTATTTAAGATTTGTACACATTTGTATGGTAATCTGTATCTTGTGGTATTTGGTACTTAATAGAGGAAAAACTTTGGATTCAGACTTCTTGGCAGTTTTTATATCATTGCTTTATTTTGTTTTTTAAATTCCAGTGGTTTGACCCAAATACTCTTATGATTGTATAAAGAAAATTTTGTACTTATATTATTAAAAATCACATTTTTAATATTTGTAGTCTAGTCTCAGCTGTCTTTTCCCTAATCGTGCTAATCATAGTTGCTATGGAATTATAAAACAGCTGTTTTTCACATTCTGTTCTACCACAGTTTTCTCTTAAAAAAAAGAATCTGAAGTAGAGGTGAAATGACTAATTTCAACCATTTTCCTAACATGCATCTTACTGTCTGTTAACTTTACATTGTAAAGACAAGTTCCAAAGCCAGTGCATCTTACAGCTCTTGCTCTGTTCATTGGCAAATGGAACTGAACATTCTGGTGCTGGCCAGCACTGGGGTCACAGCAGATGCATGTGCTCGATTGGAGACATCTGTGCCAGCGCCGTCTGGGCCTCGTCGTCACAGCTCACAGCCTCACCTGTGAAACTGGGCTCGTCATCCTCTGCCGCAGTCCCAAAGCCAGCCAGCCTGGCTTGAGTGTTCAGTAACACTGTGAACACCAAGTAGCTGGAAACCGGACCTTTCAAGGAAATTCAGTGCAGACATGAAGTGTTAAGTCTTAAGAATGAAATCAGATGATGGATTACAAGGCTATGTCTTACAGAGGGCCAGCGAGAAAGCGGCCACTGTACCTGGAGTGACTGACTGTTGGTGTGATTTGCATACTTCATCTCCCTTAACCCTAACAAGCCTTACTACTACTCCCCTTCACAGCTGAGAGCAGAGGCAGGGAAGTTCTGTACTTTTCCTGTTTTTATAACTAAGTTTTACAGCCAGAGTAAGAGCACGGGGACAGCCAAACCCAAAGCCTTGGCACTATCTGCCCCAACCTACCTTCAAATTCAGTATATAATTCAGAAGCAGACTGAGATTTCCTTGCTCAGAGACGCAGCTGGCTTTCGCTTTTCTTATCTATAATCTTTAAAGTGGTGGAAGCATGTCTAGATTTTTCTGTAAGTGTTTAAATGATATAAAAGCTTACATTGATGCAGCATGGAAAAAGGAACTTTTACCCTTAGCAAGGCATATTAATATTACTAAAATAATTAAAAGGAAAAATTAAATGTCTTATTAAATGAGTTTGTTCATTATTAGCAGATACGTTAGGAACATCTGATCAATTTTGTACTACACAGTTTTTTTGTTTTTGAGACAGCCTCACTAAATTGCCCAGGGTGGGCTCAAACTTGTGATCCTCCTGCCTTAGCTTCCCAGAGTACTGGGATTACAGGTGTGCACAATGTTTTCCATTTACACCCTTATCTAGTTTTAATAAAATTAACATACATGCATCAGGAATGGAGACACACGCCTGTAATCCCAGCACTGAGGAGGCTGAGGCAGGAGGATCACTGAATTCAAGGCCAGCTTGAACTACATAATGAGACCCTGTCTCAAAAAAAACCAGCCAGTTGTGAGGGCACATGTATGTGATTCCAACACTCAGGAGGCTGAGGCAGGAGGATCGCCATAAATTCAAGACCAGTCTGAACTACAAAGTGAGACCCCACCTCGAAAAACAGTCGTCAATGAAAAAATCCAAAAGTTCACGCTAAATATACTCTACTCCACACCATCAAGCAGCATGCTTAAAGGAAGCCAGATACAGAAGTACCTTGATGTGAGGGGTCATCTAAATGTACATCCCTGCAGTCCAGAAGCCACTACAGAAAGGCGAGTCCCATAGCTCACATTTCCGCATGCTAGTCATTGTGTTAGACAACAGTGATGACCAAAAGAGACAGAGTACCCCAGCCCCACGAAGCACCTAGACCGGTGGGGAGAGGGCAGGGGTTGGGAGGTTTTCCTAAGCATTACTGAAACACTTCAAAGCAGGTTTTCTGTTTTGGTACTGGGAATTGAACTCGGGTCCTTGCACTTGCAAGGCAGGCAGAACCACTGAGCTAAATCCCTGGCCCTTTTGTTGTTATTGTTGTTTGCTTTTTGTTTTTTGAGACAGGGTCTTACTATGTAGTTGAGACTGACCTGGAACTCACCATGTAGCCCAGGCCAGACTCAACTCACAGTGATCCTCCTGACTCGGCCTCCCAAGTGCAGGGATTACAGGCGTGCGCCACCACACCCGGCTCACAAAGCAGTTTTTATATTATAGATGTTGGACCCCATGGCAACTTAAGAACACACAGCACTAATCAGAGAACTGATCTAGTTCTCATTAGATTTTCCCCCACCCAAAATGTGTGCCAAGTCAGTTTAATCTTTCAGATGTAAATCCCCAACATGTTGTGGGACCCTAACCGCTACGTAACCCTAGTTAGCCAGCGAATAGCAGCATACATTTCTTTGTGCCCGGCTCCAAGATAAGATTAAAACAGTGTATGGAAGCCTGGTACGGGCAAACAAGATAGCGACTCAAGGCCTCGTTAGAACAGAACGGCCTGAGGTCTGGAGATGAAAGGCCAGGTGCGCCGTACAGCTGACTCCTTTGGATAGATAGCAGAAAACCGACCCCCTGACCCCTGGCCCACTTGCTGTGCTTGCAGGCCTCTTCCCTTGCCTTTAAAAAACTGTGCTGACCCCTGTGCTGGGCCTCTCTGAGCTGCTCAGTTCTGAGAGCGCCATCTGGAGACTAATAAAGGTCTATTTAACAACAAGCCTGGTGTGTTCCTTCCTGGGTGAGCCTCGCTGAGCTATGGGTCCCAGCACCTTGGAGGCCCTTTGGGCTGTTCAAGGCTCCCGGAAGTAAGGCCCTGGGTCTTGCATCCGGAGCCATCTTGGGCTACAGGACTCAGCATCGTGAAGGCCCTTTTGGCTGTTCACGCTCCTCGGAGTGGAAGTGAGACTAGGTCTTACAATGTGATCAATATCATTGAATCACAAGGCACCGCTGGTCCGACTCTGCAGCAGTGGCTATCCGTGCTTGGTCATCCGGTCCGTGGGTCGCGTCTGCACCTGGTCCGCAGCCAGGAGGCTGGAGAGAAGGCATTCACAGCTAGGAAAGGCCTTTGAGGGTCTCAGCCCGGGCTCTCCGGGACTCCCTCAGAAGAGGAGCAAAACTTCATTGGCTTTTCTTCTTCACAAAGGCGTACTGCTTTCTTCAAATTAGGTCAGAGAAGGCATTGACCTTCAAAAACAGTGGTCCCTAGTCCTGGATCTCATTAAGAGAGGATGGGGGCTCTCAGCTGTCAGTCTGACAGTCCCACGCGTGACCACAAGCTCTTTCCGCAGCCGCACAGGGACCTCAGCTCCACTTCCGGTCTGAGACGCCGGCTTCGGGGAGGGCCCCTTGGGCCAGGGTCCTGGAGTCCCGCGCGGCGCTTGAGGCGTGGCTTTGAGGCCCCGCACCACGTACGTGACACGTCTGGACAGAGCGCTCGGCCCCGCCCCGTCCAACCGGCGCGTCACGTGACTGGTCGGCAGTGGCGGCGGTTGCTGTCAGCTGATTCCCCGGGTGGTGGCGGAGGCAGCCGCGGCCATGGACTTTCTCCTGGGGAACCCATTTAGCTCTCCGGTGGGACAGCGCATCGGTGAGTCTCTGGAGCGCCGCACGGCCTCGGCTCCAGGCGCCTCGGAGTCCGTGGCCCCCTCGGGAGGCGTGGAGAGTGCTGAGGGTGGTGAATCGCTCCCGGCCCGCCCACTTTTAATGGGCAAGAGAGCGGCCCGGTAGGAAGCCTCTGCTGGGGATGGATGTTTGTGCGGGCCAATCGGTGAAGGCCCGGGCGGGTCCGCACGTGCGCCTTCGCCAATACGCGCGCAGCGGGGGTCCCGAGTGGAAGGAGAAAGTTTTCGGGGTTAAAGGGACCGCGGTGCACCCCAGGGACCCAAGCGCCGGGGTCCCAGAGACTTCAGCAGAAGGTCGGGGGTGCCAGTGCTGAGAGCCCGGCCCGCGTGAACAGACCGGGCGGCGCTGTGGAACTCCACCCCAGTAAGCGGGGTCCCGGGAAGCAAGTCGTTGTACATCCACTGCTGTGTTGCCTCTGCCCCGGTGTCGGTGGCTCTTGTGAGCCCGTCGTCAGCCTTCCGGGGAGGCCGGGGACCCGGGAACACACAGCTGCAGGCCGAGCCCCCAGATAGCACCCCGGGAGTCACCATAGGGGAACCGGGAGAACTCACAGATGCGGTCCGACACCCCCCCACACACACACACACCTCAGAGACTCCCTGTGGGCCTTGAGAAAAGGTGATCATTGGTCTGCTCATGCCAAGCCTGAGACTTCTACTTCAAAATAAGTGAACGAATCTGCTTTCAAAGTCAACCGCCTGTTCCTGAGACTTCCTGAAGAAACTCATCTGGCTCTGGGCTTCAGCTAGTAGACAATTGCGTTTCTTCTTACCATGGAGGATTGTGTTTCATGGGAAATAGGACTTCACAGAGAGTTCTGTGCATCTGATACCTTAGGGTGTGGACCAAGGAGCGTGCCGTGGGGGACCCACCACCGTGGGAGCTGCCCGGCCAAATCCCCTAGAGGCTCATTAAGGTGCCATGGCAGGGTCCCAGTCCAGTGGATCCCTACAATTTGCATTTCTAACAAGTCCCTAGGGGTGTTGCTGTGCTCAACCCGTCCTCACCTAGGACCCAGGGGCACCTTCCTGGGGCAGAGATGAGCCACACTTGAGTCACTGAGAGTTGAACCAAAGCTGAAAGCAGTCTAGAGTTAAGGTTATGTAAAGAAGGACCATCGTCTGTACTGGCGCCCTTGCTGTCCATGTGCATTTGCCTGTAGAGGCAGAAGCACTGCTTATTGGCTGTGACTGTTCTGTTTCAAGATGAAGTCTTGGCCTCTTTGTGTGCCCCGGCTGGTCTTGATCTCCTGGCCTCGGGCCGTCCCCGCCTCAGCCTTCCTGCAGCAGCAGCACTCCTGTGCACACCACCCTGCTGTGATGGGGGCTCCAGTCTGTGTTGAGAGCACAGCCGCAGAGGACCAGTGTCCCTGCAGGACGGAGGATTCTGTGACACTAACCCACCCAGTTACCTGACCCACAGAGTTCTCTTCCCGCTGCACACCCCGTACTTGTGGGTCACGCTGCTGTGTGCCCTGCAGAGCTGCTTCTGCTTCATGGCCTCCTCTCAGAGGCCCTGTCCTGACACCTAGGATCCTGTCCCATGCTCCTGCCTCTCGGCTCCTAAACGAGAGCAAGCTTGTCCCCAGAGGGTGACAGGACATCTCATGACTGCTGTCATTGCACCAATACCTCACTATCCTGTTCATACTTGTACACCTCTCCCTCCTCACCTAGCTTGCATTCTTCTTGTTTCTCAGAACTAAGGACTGAACCAAGGGTATTTACACTAACCTATATTCCCAATGCTATTTTTCCTTCTTTTTTTTTGTACAGGGGATTGAACTCAGGACCTCATGCTTGCCAGGCAGGCGCTGTGCTACTGCATCCCCAGTCCTTGCCCAATACTTTTTTAATTTTTAAATTTTGAGACAGTGTTTTTCTCAGTTTCCCAGGCTAGACTTAAGCTTGGGATCCTCCTGCCTCAGCCTCCTAGAGTGCTGGGACAACAGAGCCTACTGTGTCTTCCCTCGACTACAGTTCTTGAGAGCAAGACTATCTCTCTTAACCTAGCTGTGCAGTATCTGGCATGGTATTGGTGCCCGTAGGAAGGAGGAAAGGAGAAAGGAAATACATCTGTGGGCAAATACCATTTGCCAACCAACCGTGATGCTAGAATTCTGGTTATCACTCTTCGAAGTGACCCTGTGAGGTTTTGCTGTTTAGTTTTGCATTTCACCAGAAGTCAGTTTGAGGGCAGCTGGTACTTCTAGGGTCTCACAGCTAATCAGGGCGGGAATCCAGACCCCACCTTCTCTACGTCTCACCACAGTGCCTCGGGCTGCTCTGGCCACACCCTGTCCCTGTCATTTACCCTTCAGGTTAGCCTTGTTGGTCTACCCGTAGGTCAGGTCAGGGTGGGAAAGTTTGCACCACTCCTAGATCCAGGTCACTTTGAAGGGAGCAGCTCAGGCCAAGAGGGCCCCCTGTCCTGGGTGCTACCGACAAGGCCCTGTTCTTCTGAGGCTGTCGAGCCCCTCCCTCCCAAAGACACTCTGAGTCCAGATCTCATTGGCTGTGTTCAAAGACAGATGTCGAACGTCAGAGAACCTCATTGTCTGGGAGTCTGACTCCCAGAAGGTTGTGAAATCAAACTGCAAATCCAGAGAGTGAAGGTGGGCAGTCCAGGGGTCCAGCCCGCCCCTGGGGCCGTGTACGCTCACGAGGAGAGGCGTACTCAGAGTTTAGGAAAGGAGAAGGTGGAGAAAACTGTTCTTGTGTCCCAGAAGCCTCACCGGGAGCCACAGGAAAGAAGCATGGACGTGAGGGGCCCCTGCGTGCCAGGTAGACAGTGAGGGCACTGCAGACACCAGGCCGAGGGACTGGAGAGCTAGGCTGGCACCGGGTCTGCTCCTGACTTCCCTGTGCACTGCCCAGTGTCCGTCCCCGCCCAGTGACCCAAGAGCCCTCGTTCCTCTCCCCAGGAAGGAGGTGTGCAGGCGGGCTGGTGCTGGCAGGAAGACAGAGACTGAGGCACCAAGGCTATGGAGGCAGAGAACTGATTGCCAGGCCCAAGGGGCAGGGAGACTTCAGGGCAGGGAGAAATTGGGTGTAAATAGCCAGCTGCCATTGCTGGAAGCATCAAGGCAGAGGCTACCAAAGCAAATCAGACCGGGGTCCTCCGCTTCGCCCATAAGGGCCATAGAGCAAGTGCTCATGGTCTGTTGCAACTACCCAGCACATTGTGTAAGCATAGCCTTGGCAAGGAGGGAGGCTCAGGTGTGGCCACACACTGATAAGACTGGCACTTAAAGGTCATGTCATCTTCACATGCCATGAGACGTGCTTTGGCTTTCGTTCCTGCTGCTTGAAAGTATCAAGACCATCTGTTGCTCTCAGGCCACACAGAAACAATCTGCATGTGTCTCATGGGTTCACGGGTGGCAGACCTGGGGGTCACAGCAGCTGGCCAGAGGCAGAAGAAGGGAAGGTGTGTTCCTTAAAGTGGGCTCCACAGCACCCTTACCAGCACGCTGGCCTTGGCCCCCTGAGCCAATCGCTGCCTTTGGCAGAGTGTGCCTGAGAAGCCCTCCTGTCTGAAGCACCAGTGTCCTAGCAGGAGACAGGTGAAGCCCAGGTCTCTGGCTTGAGAACAACAGGATTGCCTCTACTGGGCCTTGCACCAGCTGTGTGCACAGTGACAAGGCCCAGGCGAGCTTCCATAGATAAGTGACCTCACCGGCTCTGTTGGCTGGACCAGGTTACTTGACCTCTGTGTATTAGCTTCCTACCCACACAGTGAGACTACTGCTGGCCCTGGCGTGTGGGCTGCTGTGCCGGGGTACTGCAAAGCACCTCACCCAGCTTGCCATGCAGGAGCACATGGGATCTTCCACCTGTGTTCGGCATTCCTGGGCAAGGCTGAGGAGCCAGCCCAGGCCCTGGGTTTGTGTTGGTCTCTGCCCGAGGTCACTGGCCTGCTGGCTCTCACATTCACAGACAGCTCAGGTTCCAAGCGTGGAGAGGAGCCAATGTTCACTTGGAATTAAGGCCTTGGCCTAACTCTGGGTAGAATGGTAAATAGGTTTTGTTTCTCCCAGAGCTTAGAGAAATAAGAGTAAAATCCAGGATTTCCAGTCTTCTGATCTCAGAGGAAAAACAAAAACCCTCAGCCTGTCTAATTAGCTTGGGGCCCTCATCTGGGAAGAAACAGGGGACTCGGGACAGGTTGATTCTCTACCCAATTCAGGAGTTCTGGACCTAAACCCCACTGTCCAGATGCCAGTCCTCATCACCAGGCTTGGGTTTGTGTCCACCTCGGGCCTCCATAGGGGCTGTTGTCCTTTAACTGGCTCATCCATGTTATTACAGCCCTGAATTGTGGCTTTGATGAGCTAATACGTGTTTCTTTCTGTTCTGCAGAACAGGTAAGTCTGTGTGCCTCCATGACTGCGGAAGGCCTGCCCCAGGGAACACACTTTCAGTCATTCTTGGCTGTCTGCAGCTTGATCAGGGCCAGAGTTTCGCCTGTGCCTAGACAACTGGCTTCCCGTGCCAGCCCCACAAGGGACTTGAGGACATGAGAACCATCGCAGCTGATGGAGCGCTGGCGAGTACTGTGGGGGCTGCCGTGTGCAAGGACGAGGGAAGGGAGTGGGCAGGGGAGAGGCTAGCCAGACCTCGGGGGCTGGGATGGAATTGTGTTGACTGAATCTTCAGCTCACCTAGGTGGGTAGAGTAGAATGAACCACTGTGCTGGTTAGCCATGTGTCAACTTGACCAGACCACCAAATATTTGGTAAAACGTTCCAGATGATTCTAGGAAGGTGTATTCTAAATGCGATCAAGCCAGGTGTGGTGGTGCACACTGGTATTCCCAGAGTTGTCAGTTCTTGTCAGCCTGGGTAACTTAGCAACTTTGTGAAACCCTACCTCCGAATTAAAAAAAAAAAAAATGAAAAAGGTTGGAGCATGTAGTTCATTATGAAGTCCCTGGCTCAATCCCCACTTTTCACAAAAATAAGTAAATAAATGAAATGAACAAATGAGCAACACTGAAGTCAGTAGACTTAGAGTAAGTGGCCCTCCAAATGCAGTCGGCCTCGTCCAGTTGGTCGAAGCGGTCCTTGAGGAGGCTGAGCTCCCCACTCCGCTGGCATAGTGCACTACAGGGGCGCTGCCTCTGCCCTGGCCTGCAGTGCCAGCTCGCTTGCAGGCTCTGGACACACCCTGCTCCGCGGTCTCGTGAGCCAGTTCCTTAAACCAGTTTCAGCCCCCAGCAACACACGTGCCCATGACGCAACACATTTCTCGTTTCTCCCAGCTGATGCAGACCCTGTCCACCCACCTGCAGGTGTTGGGTGCCAGCTGCACCTGGCCAGCACCTCAGCCCCTCCCGAGGGCTGGCTCCCCTTCCTGGGAGGGTGGGTGTTGGTGTCCTGCCGGGAGCCGTTCAGGGATGTGCTGGGGGCTGTGGTTAAGCCAGGGAGACGTAGCTGGGGCTCTGAGCAGGGGTAGGATTCCCAGGCTGCTCTGGAAAATAGGCTGCAGCAGAGTTGCTAGCTAAAAGCAAAACAAAGTGGCTGCCACATGGGTTGGTTGTAAAGGCCTTTAAATGAATGTCTGGTGTTCTTAGTCATTTTGTTTGATATTCTTGCACTAGATCATCGGGGTTTGTGGGGGAAGGGAGTTGTTTTGTTTTTTGAGACAGGGTCTCACTATGTAGCCCAGGCTGACCACGAGCTCTTGCTGGTCCTCCTGCCTCAGCCTCCCAAGTGCTAGGATTACAGTGAGGTATGCTTCCTCATGCTCAGCAGTGGGCATGTTGTGCTGGGACTGGCGGCCCTGCTCTGCATAGGACTAGGCTGAGCCGAGGCCGAGGCACCCACCCAGGACCACATGGCTAATGGGCACTTGCCCTGGGCCTTGACCTGGGAGTCCCATGCTCCTGCCCATCCCACCTCACTGCTGTCCCTAGCACTGAAGGGGCCTCTGGATTTCCCTTGAGTGAGTGTCTGCCTGTCTAGAACGAACATGTCCAGGAGCAGCTCCTCTGCATCCTGCCCCACGGAGCTCGGTCTCTGGTTGGGATAGGAGCTGCTCACAGGGCTGCTGCGCAGAGGGTAGAAATCCAGTGTCCAGAGGGAGACCGTTAGGGACGAGGATGGGGATGAGAACAGTCAGAGTTACACATGTTCACGACCCCTGGAAGAAACTCATTTTCCTGTGTAACTAATGTACACTGACCAAACATTTTAAAGGTGAAAGAAAGCCCTGCCAGGTGTGGTGGTGCACACTTGTAATCCCAGCACTAGGGAGGCTGAGGCAGGAGGATTGCTTTGAGTTTGAGGCCAGATTGGACAACATAGCAAGACTTTGTCTCAACAAACAAAACAAACAAAAATAGAGAGGCCCTGTTTCAAAAACACAACAACCGCCACTTGCTTCCCAAGCGCGAGGTCCTGAGTTTGATCCCTGTACCAAAGGAAAAAAAGAAAATAGTCCAAGGATGGTTAAGTGGAAGGAAAATAAGGACTTCCACACAGCTGGTGCCAAAGGGGGAAGCACGTCATTTAAAAAGGCTGTGGGGCGTGTTGTGTGGCCAGATGTGGCCTCAGCCTTCATGTACTTGGTCAGCAAACTGGTCCTGTGGATTGAACGTGGCTGGTCCCATCTGGCTTCTCTGCTCCCTCTGCCCCAAGCAGGGCAGAGACCGAGAGGTTAGTAGAGCTTGTTACGCAGTCTGGAGGCGCTGGCACCTGGGGGAGATGTGGCATTTGGGGGCATTGACCCCACCAACTCATGTCCTCCTCTGTGAAGCCACGCAGCCTCCCTTGGACTCAGTGCCCACTGGGCTGCTGCTGCGGAGGGCAGTGGTGTCCCTGCTGGCCAGGCGAGTGTTGCGCATCTGAGACCACGGGGATCTGAGAACCATACCTCTCTGGGTTCTGTGCAGCTTCAGACTGCCTTGGCTTCTCTTCCCTCTGTGAGGCGGGAGGTGTGTCCGGGGGCCGGACCCCTGCCTGGGTGCAGGAGGCAGTGAGGCCCCAGGGACAGGTTGTCACCAGAGAGCACTGGCTCCATCTGTGTTGAGAAGAGGAGCTGGCGGGCCCCCAGGCAAGCGATGCAGTGCGCTCCCTGTGGCTGAGGGCACCGTCACCTGAGGCTTCAGGTCCCTGCCCAGGCTGAGCAGGCAGGGGATGCCCGTGGCGGTGGTCTCCGTGCAGTCTCATCACCGGCACCGCCACTGCCCCTGCCCTCGCCTGCCTGATGCAGTGCAGACCCAGGTTGAGAAGTTGCTGCTGCCACAGAGTTTAACAGAGCCAGAGCCTCCGTCCCCTGGGCTCAGGTCAGAAGTCAGCTGATAAGCGATGTCCCTGGAACAGTGCTCAGCAGTGCGCCTGCCGAGGGGCTGCCGCATCAGCCCCTCCCGAGTACATGGCTTCTCTTGTTGACGGTGCCCAGCACCCTGCCCCACATGACCACAGCCCAGTCCCCAACCCTGCAGCAGAGGTGCTGCCCTTCTCAGGATGCTGTGGGTTCAAAAGGGGCTCCAGGCAGGGACTGCTTGGGTCAGAAAGGGCACTTGTCTGGGATGGCTCCTCTCGCTTTTTCAGGCTGCTGGCCTCCCTGTGCCTCAGTTTCCTCTTTCGTTAAGCATGGTCCAACAGGGGACCCTGTTTGGGGGAGGGGCAGGATCGCATTCTCTCTGTCAGTAACCGTGTGGGGTCCTGCAGTGCATGTTCTGGTGGGGCTGAGGTCTTGGGACACGAGTGGGACACAGCCGCTCAGAGGTCTCTCGTGTTTCCCTGGGAAGCATGGAGCATGGGTGGGCGGGGCAGGCAGGAGGGTCTGGGAGAGGCGGCAGGTGCTGCGGGACATAGGGCACTAGACGTGAGCTGTGGGGACAGCGCCAGGCCTGCTGCCCGTGATGGAGAACCAGGCTCTGCCCCAGCTCTGTCTGGGACTCTACGTGTGAAAGCTCAAAGATGGGGTGCACACAAAAGTGCCTCGGTGCCGCCCTCCTTGTTTCACCCAGGTCAGCACCAAGGCACAGAGCTGCACCCTGCCTCAGCCAGTGGCTCCCGGTCCTAGACAGACCAGGGCTGGCACACACGGCAGCTCCTGCCGTCCCCATGCCCAAGGGATGGTCCAGGAGTGTGAGGCTGTGTGGCCCTGGGGAAGCAGGGACTGCTGTCTCTGAGTGCTGGGTGCAGCCTGCTGTGGGGAATGCGGACAGGGTGGCATGCATCCTGGAGGGTGAAGCGCACTCTCCGGTTATTGGCAGGGACCCCTCAGACTGAGACAGCGGGGACTGTCCCTGGGCAGGCCGCAGGAGGTGACCATCCGGGTCTGGACACCCCCAGCATGCGGGGGCCTGCAGCACGTGTGGGTGTCCTCCAGGTCACAGTCAGCCCCTGATGTCAGATTCAAAGAGACCCCAGCACTTCCTGTGCAAGTGTTCTGTGCAAGGCCAAGCTGATGTGATCCTGGAGTTGGGAACCAGCTCAGAGGCAGCTAGGAAGGGAGGAGCTTTGCTGCTGGACCAAGAACGCCCCCGAGAGTACAGAGGGCCACTTACTGTGGGGCTCCCAGGAAGTGGGGCTGGGCAGGACTGGCTGAATACAGAATGGCTGGGGAGGAGGGCCTGTCTCTCCACACCTGTCTCTGTATCACAATGGCGCGAGGCCACGTGGGGGCTCCGAACTGGCCTCTGTCAGACCTCAGAGGCTTCCTCATCTCCGGTGGCCGCTGCCGGAGTCAGATGACAGGTGGGACCCTGCTTGTCCAGCTGGCCCAAGTCCGGTGCCCAGAGAAGCCATCATCCTCCATTCTCTGGTGTCTCCCCGCCCGCCACCATCCCTTTGAGTCTGTCCCCTTCTTTGCTGACTCATGGCCTCTTCTAGAGAAAGCTACCGACGGCTCCCTGCAGAGCGAGGACTGGGCCCTCAACATGGAGATCTGCGACATCATCAACGAGACGGAAGAGGGGTAAGGGCTGCTGTGGGTCCCTGAGCCCAGAGAGGCAGGGTCCTCCCTTGGACATTTGCACCATGGTCCAGGCCAGCCTTGTCCCTAGGATGGGAAGTTCAGTCATGGCAAGTGTGCAGCCAGCCCCTGGGCCAGGCGCTGCCACCTGCACAGCCCCCAGGCCAGGACCAGCTGTGAAGGGAACACCCGCCCTTCCTCACCTGGAGCTGGCCAGGCAGTGAGATGAAGGGACGGAGAAGCAGATGGGTGGCTGTGTTTTCTCCTCCTCCGTGCAAGGGGTCCTGCCGAGGGACGGACCTTGGCTTTGGGTCTCTTACTGGTGTTTGCGTACCGGCTGTGTGACGTGACCTGGGAGAAGTCACTTTGTCTCCCGGGGTGTCTGTCCCCAAAGAGAATCTCTGCTCACTACTTCAGAGCATCCCAGGTCCCTAAGAGGAGCTGGAAGAGGTGGTATAGGTCACAGTCCTCCGAGGAAACCTCTGCAGGGGCAGGCACAGAGCATGGTGGCCCAGGTCAGTGTCGCGAGGGAGGACTCCAGCTGGGCCCTCCCGCCCCACTGCCCTCTGCTGTGTCCTTGCTCCCAGCATGGTACCTGCACAGAGGGCTTCATGAGGCTGCAGAGCAGCCGGGTGTAGAGTCCCTCGCCTGCTGCCTGCTCCCTACCTTGGTTTGTGGAAGCATCACTGGTGCAGGGCGCAGACCTGGCTCCCGCTCCCTGAGTGCGGGTCAGAGGAGGGCAGGGGGCCCGCGCTCAGTACCTGAACCAGCCCAGTGCAGCGAGTTAGGCCGACACACACCCACTCTACCTCCTGGGCCTCCTGAACTAGGCCTGTGGCCTCCGGGGCCACGAAAGGGGCCCCTGCGCCTTTGCACACCCTTCCTTCCATGCCCTTACCAGCCCCAAGGATGCCTTCCGCGCCCTGAGGAAGAGAATCTCGGGGAACAAGAACTTCCACGAGGTGGTGCTGGCTCTGACGGTAAGGGCCGGCTGCCCGCGTCTCCCCGACCCCGCTGCTCGCCGCTGACACTGCTGCTGGTGTGGTGGGGAGAGAGGTCCTCCCCGCCCTGACATGGGAGCAGACATGTGGAGCCCCCCCTCCCTGGACCCTTGGCACAAAGACCCGGGCCAGAGGACCCAGATGCCTGCAGGGTGGTGGAAGCGGTGACCCAGGCCTGGGGTGGGATAGGTGGGCTCACCCAGCACCCTGGCACGAAGCTAGCAGCGGGCACCTGCCTCAGCCTCCATGGTGGCAGTGGTGTCTGAGGGCCCTGCTGGGCTGGAGAGCACGGGCGCCTGCTGCCAGCCTTGGGGATGCTCTGCTAGGACACTGCAGACACGAGGTGGCGTGGGGTCTCTGTCCCCTCTGCTGGGGTGCGGGAGACACTGATGGGGTGGGCTGTCATGTACCTCCAGGTCCTGGAAACCTGTGTCAAGAACTGCGGGCACCGCTTCCATGTGCTGGTGGCCAGCCAGGACTTCATAGAGGGCGTGCTGGTGCGGACCATCCTGCCCAAGAACAACCCGCCTGCTGTGGTGCACGACAAGGTGCTCAGCCTCATCCAGGTGTGTCCCAGGGCAGGCTCCATGCTGGGGCGTCCTGTTGTCGCAGCCGGAAGGCCTGCAGGACAATCTGTCGCCATGTACCTAGCGTGCCGGGTGTGCACCGAGAGAGGGCCGGCTGACAAGGCAGGGCTTCTGGCCTGGGTGCCGGGGCAGGCATCCAGGAAGAAGGTGCGGTGGTTAGCGGCCATGTCCCTTGTCCCCTCTCAGTCCTGGGCTGACGCGTTCCGCAGCTCACCTGACCTGACAGGCGTGGTGGCCGTCTATGAGGACCTGCGGAGGAAGGGCCTGGAGTTCCCCATGACAGACCTGGACATGCTGTCTCCCATCCACACACCCCAGAGGGTGAGCGTCCCTGTGCGTCCCTTTGCGGGGTCAAGCGGGATGGGGTATCCCAGAGGGGCTGGCACATGGGCCCTGCTGACCCAGCTCCCGCCCCCAGACTGTGTTCACATCAGAGACGGTGCCAGGACAGAACTCTCTGGGCCCCGAAGCCAGACAGCGTGGAGACCTGAGCCAGTGCCCTGCTCCTGTGCCTGCCTCCACCACGGTGCCTGGTGACACACCCATCACACCAACCCCTGAGCAGGTAAGGGGCAAGCCCACAGGGACAGCAGGCCGGGCTGCAGGGTGTGTTACTCCTGTTGGAGAGGTGAGGCCAGAGGGGTAAATTCACACAACCAGAGTCACACAGCTCATCAGAGACAGCTGGGGTCTGACCAAAAGTGTGACTTCCAGCAGGCACACCCTGAACCTGGCTGTCTTCCCGCCTCTCTGAGGCCCCTGGGGCCACAGTGGTCCCCAACCCATGTGATACAACCGCAGAGGTCTGGCCTGAGCAGCTGAACAAAAAGTGAAGCCTTACTGCATTGCACCACAATGCCACAGGGAAAAGCTTTGGAGCTGAGGGCCTGTAGGCTCTGGCTGTCTCTGTGCCTCAGTTTCCCCTGCCCACCGAGGCTGCCCTACCTGTGGAGGCCCTCACCGGCTGGGTCACGATCTCTCTGGGTGCCATGTTGGGCTGTCGTTGAGGCCTGCTGCTGCAGTGGCTGCCGGTGTTCAGGGTCTCACAGACTGCAGCCCTGTCGGTGAGCCCAAAGCATGGCTGCTGGGTGTGCTGGGGAGGAAGAGAAACATCTGTATTCTGTATTCTGCTGTAAGGTAGCAAATTACAAAGGAGGTTCCCAGAGTTACAAATATTAGAGAAGTTTTGCTAACGTAACAGAATGATTAAAGATGTTGAAAAATTGCAAAACCATCTGGGCAAGTGGTGAACACCTGTGATCCCAGGTACTGGTGGTTGGGGGCTGAGGCAGAGGATCACAAGTTCAAGGCCAGCCCAGCTGACTTGGTAAAGAAGGGCTGGGAGTGTAGCTCAGTGGTAGAACACTTGCCCAGTGTGGGTGAGGTCTGGGTTCCTTCCCAGCACCACAAAAAAGAGAAGGCATCGTGAAGCCACTGGTACCCTGAAGTGTGATTTCACCCAGTTTCCTCAACACCGTGCATCTGGGCTGAGATGGACCGCTGCTCGCACCAGAAGCTTCTTGCTGAGCAGAACAGTGCATTTGCTCCAGGCTGCAGTCTTCTCTGTCTCCAGGCCACGTGAGGACAGTCGGACGCTCCAAGACGAAACTCCCTGGCACCTCTGTGGTCATGTGTTGGGCTCGGCTCTGTCGGGCTGGTGGTCAGGAGCTTCTTGAACACTCACGCAAGGTGGTCATTAAGAGGCGACATCACCAAGCGTGTGGGTGCAGGTGTCTGGGCAGGAGTGGATCTGCTCCTGGTCTTTGCTCCCCTTTGTTTTCATGTAAACACGAATAATGAATCTACCCTGACAGCCATCAAACAGCAATTTGTATCAAGTGCTTGGCACCCATCACATACTCAGTCGCAGCTGCTACCACACTGGTGATTTTTCATGGTGACAGTCACACGATGTGGAATATGCTGGCGTTTCCCAAACTGTCCCCCTCTGGCTGCTGGACCCACGAGCTGTCCCCATGACGAAGGGTTCCTCGACCCTGTGGGTTTGGGCTGTCTCAGGGTCCATGTCCGTGAAGTACCCACGAGCTGCCGTGCGCCGAGGACCCGCGCACCCTCCTGTCTGAGGCTGCTGCAGCACAGCCTTGGCCGTGTGGGCCCAGGCCCAGGGTCCTTTCCCTCACTGGGACAAGTGCTGCGTCTGAGTGTTTCACTGATCAGGTGGTGGCCAGGCTGGGCTGGGACTTCTCTGGGAACAGCCCTGTGACACTAAAGCAGACTGGGAGCCAGACAAAGCCCCAGGCGCCGGGGGAGAGCACACCCCATACCCACTGATGAGAACACAGCCAAGCTCTCCTGGGCGAAGCTGAGGCCCACAGCCTCCCTCCAGGGCCTCGTTAGCTGCTGCTCGCCCCAGAGGAGGAGCCAAGACCTTCCAGCCACGCCATAGCACAGCCGAGGTTTCTTGTGCTGCCTCTGGGTTTGGCTGGGTTTGGAGATGGCAGCGGTGGGTAGCACCCACCTGAGAGGCTGCGATGTGGGGAGCCCCCGTGGCCTTGGCTCTATCCTGGGGGCAGGAGGGTGCCCTCCAGCCTCTCACCTCTCTACCTGCCTTTCAGATCGGGAAGCTGCGCAGTGAGCTGGAGCTGGTGAGCGGGAATGTGCGAGTCATGTCGGAGATGCTGACGGAGCTGGCACCCACCCAGGCAGAGCCCGCCGACCTGGAGCTGTTGCAGGTGAGCAGAGAACCTCCCGCTGCTCGTTGCCTGAGTTTTCCTTCTCTGTAGGGTTGCTCTAGTAGCCAAGCTGGATGTGAGAGTTAAAGGCAGTGTAGCCAGTGTTTCGTGTAAAAACCCCAGTTGGTGCCTGGTACAGTCCTAGGAAAGGCTGGGGTGATGGGCACAGAAAGGATGGAAGCCGTGGAGTTCCTTCCTGTCCCCAGCTGAGGGCTGCTGAAGCAGAAGGGGCCACGTTTGGGAGCCTGCCCGCCCCATAGAGGGTGTTCCCCATGGGGACCAGGAGCCCAGTGTGCCCAGCTGACGCCTTAGCTTCCTTGTGGTCGGGGCAGGAGAGGCAGGCCTGTCATGCCTGAGAAAGCTCCGTGGGGCCATCACGGGATGGGGGACGGTAGCTGCCATCAGGTGGCTTCCCCGGGCCCAGCCACAGCCCACAATGATGAGCCACCAGGGGACTCAGAAGTGACGGCTCCCTGCAGGGGCTCCCTGTGCTGGCTCTTTACATGCCTGTGCTCCAGGGAGGACAGGCCTGGGCCATGTGGCAGGTGGGCAGCAGAGCTGGGATTTGAACCAGGTCTGGCTCCCAGTGCTGCTGTGGTGACTTTGCAGGGCTGGTGAGGACGTGGGCGCGAAGCCCTGTAGTGCGGTCACAGTGAGAGGTAGGCCGGATATGGAGCGTCGATACCACCAGGCAGAGAAAGTCCCAGGTCACAGAGAGCCAGTGCTGCAGCGGGGCTGTCCTTGGTCCCCTGCTGGCCAGGCCCTGGTGCCAGACCCCATGGCGGACACCCTGGAGGCAGCAGCCAGTCTGCAGTGGACCTGCGAGGCTGTGCGGTGCATTCTCCTTCCCACATGCTGCTTAGTGACTCAGAGTCAGTGAGTGGCACGGTGACTGACGCAGGGGGGACCCTGGGACAGGAGGAGGACAGCGGGTAGCAGAGAAACCGCGAGCCCTGCAGCCCCACTGGGTCAGCCGAGGGAATGAGATGGCACCAGTGTTGCCGTCTTCGTTTTGAGGCATCAGGCTGGGTGAAGGGTGCAGGAGCCCAGTGCTGTCTGAGCGGCTCTCCTGTAAGTCTCCGACTGTCCCAGAATTGACAGTGCACCTAGAAATTCGTCAGTGAGCCGGGCGTGGGGGCACACACCTGTAATCCCAGCACTGAGGCTGATGCAGAAGGATTGCCAAGACCCTGTCTCAAAACACCAAACGAAAAAGAAAGAAAGGAATCCACTGAGGAGAATAACTAGGCAGATACTCACGGTGAGGAAGACCAGGCCCCGGCTGGAGCCCTCGCTGGTGTATCACTGAGAGAAAGCTGCGGTGCTCAGCCAGCCCTCCCTATCATACAGAGGCAGAGACTGCACTCAGCCAAGTGGAGCCAGTAGCACAGTTAGCTTGCTTTTGTACTGTTTTTTGGTACTGGGGATAGAACTCAGCAAGAAAGGCAGTGGAACCACTGAGCTAAATCCCCAGAAACATCTTGCTGAGATTGTCCTGTCTTAAACGTAGTGTGTAGCCGAGTGTAGTGGTGTATGCCTATAATCCCAGCACTCTGGGATGCTGAGGCAGGAGGATCACTTGAGGTTGAGGCCAGTCTGAACAATACAAAACCCCATCTCAAAATTCATTAAATTCACGTTAGCACAGAATGCTTAGAGGTAGAATTCAAATTCATGTAGTAGAGCTGGGCGTGGTGGTGCACGCCTGTAATCCCAGCACTCGGGAGGCTGAGGCAAGAGGATGTGAGGCTGTGAGTTCGAGACCAGCCTGGGCTACATAGTGAGTTCCAGGTCAGTCTCAACTACATAGTGAGACCCTGTCTCAAAAAAACCAAAAAAAAAAAAAATTCAAATGCATGTACTAGAATCCAAGCCCATTCCATGGAAGGTCCAGTTGGTGAGGTGCCCCCACTCCAGCCAGCCCAGAGAGAGCTGAGCCGCGGGCTGGGATCTCACTTTCTGTCCTGGCAGGAGCTGAACCGGACTTGCCGTGCCATGCAGCAGCGGGTCCTGGAGCTCATCCCACACATCTCCAACGAACAGCTAACAGAGGAGCTGCTCATGGTCAACGACAACCTTAACAACGTGTTTCTGCGCCACGAGCGGTGAGCCCCATACACCCTAACCTCCTCCTTCCTCCCTCGGACCCAGGCAGGCTGCCAGGGCTGTGCACCC